TAGTCTCATTTCTAAAATATATCATATCAAAAAGTTGAATACTCAAAACCAAAGCCACTCCTTTTTCAAACGTTTAAAACCTTTAAGGTGTCCAAGACCAAATCAAAGTGCCAAAAGCCTAACCAACCACCTAGACCAAACTCCAAGAACTTAAGAAACTATGTAATGCATCACATCACATAAATATAGTACATTCCTCAATTTCACTCCTCAACCCTAATATTATTAAAAAATTATGGGGGAGGTAAATCAATTCAAATTCTCAAATATCATTTACATATCATTATCAAAATAACATAATTATATATGCACCAGGATTTAGACCTTGAATACACATTTATAACTCATCAAACAAAGCCTAGGACACTAAATACAACCAAAACAACACATATATCATGCAGTGGTGCAAATATTAAAAGAATTGTCCTAGTTGACAATTTTTATCATCAATTACACATATTAAATCAAAAGAAAGAGGCATAAGTAGGAATCACAAATTCCTATACCTCAGGTGATTTTCCCTTATCCTACTTGGAGCTAGTGCTTGTAAAATCTTAAATAAGAGTAAGTTCAGCCACTCAATAATCAAGAAAAATTCTAAATCATGCATATGCAAATCAAATCAAGTAAGGCATGCAAAGTAGGCATTTAAACTCATTCAAAGATCTAGCACAACATCACATCACATGATATCACAAATGCATGATCAAACTACTCCTAATCTCCTCCATATACTATTAACTGAATTTGTGACCTGACAATTTAATAAAGCTAAGTCCATGTGAATAAACTAGTCCAAACTTACCAATTATGAGAAGTTACCTAGCTAAAGGTGCTACGCTCACTCTCAAACAATGAATTCTCCTAATTCTCAAATTCACTGAGGTATGCACCCAATTTAAGGTGATGTAAGGACTAAGGATCTAGGCAACTTAAGCTTACATTTATATTTAGGTGAGATTCAAAAAGAGCCAACCCTAAACTAAATTTCAAGGCCACCCATGGTGATAGTAAGTATCCACGTGGAAATAAAATAATATCCTCATAGGACAGACTCTTGCTATCCTCCTAAAGCATCATCATGCATACCAAGTCACATAGCATAAATTAGCTATCACAAGCATGCATGCAATATCATAGTTTCTTATAGGCTATTATAATATTCAAAATCTTCTTTCCAATAAATAATTAACATGTTAACTTTGAGTTATTTCTCATTTGTATAAAACAAATCATACTTGCATATGAGTTAATAAAACAATAATTTAAGTTTAACAAGTTACAAAACATTTTTTTCAAGTTTACAAACAACCATAACTAATCTAACAAGTAATAGCATCAAATAAGATTCTCCCAATTACCCTAAACCTTTGAGAATTCAAATATTACCCCTAAAAAGTTACTTCTTGAGCTAGGATTAAGCTCAAACAATTGTGTCATAAGGTTTATGTACAATTAATAAAACCTATCATCACTAGTAATCAATATAAACACTACTTTCTAACTCTTAAACTCACAATTTGTTAACCAAATTTCTTATGCACAAGTTAAATCTCACATCCAATGAGTTTATTAACTCCCTTCAACTCCATTTAGCTCCCATTACCTTGAATAACAACTAATATATCACCCAACAACCTAAAATTTTACTTAAAGAGGTTAAGGTTCATCCAAAACCTTAGACCCAAGTTCACAATCTTGTAAAATCATTAAAACTAGGTAATGGAGATGTTAAACAACTCCCATTAGTCCCAATAGAACTAATGGTACTGGATCCATCGCCCCCAAGGTTTGAAATTAACATCCTTGTAGAGAAACCTAAGCTAAAATCATGTGGAAAAAGAGAGGGAAGTGAGGGAAAACATTTACCTTGGTTGTGGTAGTTAAAATCTCCCTTGAATGGTCACCAAAGCTTGCCCTAGCAAACCCACTTCCTCCTTTTCATCACTCTCCCTTAGTTTCTCTATATTTTTCTCTTTCTAACTCGTGCTCGAGCTCAATCTCGTTATTTAAAATTTTAGACCATCTACCACAACACATGGCATATCTGCTGTGACGAATGACACAAAAAAGAGCCTTCACAATTTGGGCCCAACTAGCCTAATCCGTCTCCTATCCCAATCCAAAGGTTTTACCCAAAATTAATAGGTTTGTTAGCCATCACTAACCATATATTATCAAACCAACTAATACTCAATTTTTAACTAATTTTTTAACTAATAAAATTCAATTAATCAACTTAATCAATGAATTAAAATCTAGGATGTTATATGTATTTAATTTGTATAATTAATATACTTTTTTGACCAATCAAAATAAATGAATTTTAATATGTTAATAATATTAATATCAAAAATTTGTTATGGAATAAATAATATGTGAAATATTTATATCTCTTAATTTAATTAGAGACAAATACATTGAGTGTATAATACTAAGTATATAAATTTTTCTCAAGAAATTTAATTATTTTAAGATCTCATAAAAAATAGACTTACTCTTTGAGTTGTGCCCTTGTCAATAATAAATGCTCAAGATTTTCCAGGCAAAATTACTCAGCATACATTAATCAACACAACAAATAAAAAAATGAAAATAGTTGGTAAAAAATGTCATGCGTTGTGGAGAGGAGGAAGTATAAATCTGACAAGATGCATTTTGCAGAAATGTTAATCCCTATTTGGTGGTTGTGATTATTGAGATCAATGTACTGACCACTAATTGATAGGTATTGGGCTGGAAGCAATTATGAGAAGGCCCGATAATATCAGGCGGGCAGATTATATAATAATAGGCCTGACGTAAAATTAGATAAACGAAAACCAAATCCATGGATTTTATTTGCAAGTCTGCTTTGTTCGTTTTCTGTTGGTTGATAACGATGTTGATCAGAGAGAGTGAAAGAGGGGACCCACCACTCCAAAAGGTGGGATCTCATTTTCCTCACGATTTAGGGCCTGTTTGGTTCAAGGAGAGGGGAGGGAAGGGAAGGGGGAGGGGAGGAGGGGGAAGGGAGGGGAGGGGAGCTCCCCCCCCCCCCAATTTGGAGGGGAGGCTTTGGAGGGGAGGGGAGGAAAAATTTTAAAAATTTTCCCTCCCCTCCTCCTAACCAAAGGAGGGGAGGGGAGGGGAGGAGCTCCCCTCCTCCTAACCAAGTGAGGGGAGGGGAGAGGAGCCCCTCCCCTCCCCTCCATCCAAACACTCCTTTAATCAACGAAATGAAGTGCTGTACTATGATTTCAGCATGTCAATATAGTGACAGCGAAGGCACCACACGATTTTATCTTTGTTATCCAAACGTTTCTAATCCTGTCATCCAGGGGAACACACTTGACAAGGCCTATATTCATGTATATCACTCATCAATATTTATATCATTCTTTTGCTTTTTAAGTTGCCAAAATCATGCAATTTTAACATTTTGTTTTTGCAATGAAAAACCTATATTATATATGATGCCACCAATTATAATTTTTAAAAAGCTTCTTTCAGTAATAGCATTTATTTGAAAACTTTCGAGATGAATACAATTTTTTCAATGCTTTCTTAATTTTTTTTATATGGTCTTTTATTTATTTATTTTCACTTTATACTTAATCTTTGGATATAGTTTAACATTTTTTATTGTGCTTTGATTAGGAGCAATTCATCTCACACATTCTTTATTATTTATTGAGGCCTAGCATGTATTAAAATACTACCTAATATTATTCACTCCCTCTTTTAAGAAATGTAAGACATTGTTTTAAGGTTTGAATGTTAAAAGAAGTAAGTTATTTTCAGTGTTTTAATGTCTAATTAATGTGCTTTTACCAAACATGTCCCTAATTAACAAATTATTTTATATTTATTTTAAAATAAAGCACCCTATTAATTAAATATGAGTAAATATAAAAAAATAATATTAATTAAAATGCGTGATTCAACTAAAAATACTTCTTATTTTTTAAGGAAGGGATTATAAGCATTGTGGCTGGATCAATGATCATACGCATATACACAAACTCGTCATAAATTCTCTTGTTGTCCTGAGTCGAGTCGGTTTGCGTTTGCCAATAAATGGTGTTTAGGATGCTATAACACAGGAATGATGGAGTACCTAATAATACCACTTAAATTCTAATTAATAATTAAAGCTGCTTTATGGGAACTATATAACTTTTGACATGGCGAAACTGCCCTCAAATTATTTTTTTTTTTTTTTGCTTGCCTTTTTGGCGTGGGTTTTTCATTCCTGTTTCCCACGTGAACTACACGATAACTAAGTTATTTTAATTTATACATCTAAAAAGCATGAAAATGGATGGGTCGACCAAGAATTGGATCCCGGCCCATATCTTGCTTCCTATTGAAAAGTATCCTTGGTCTTCATTGATAACGCCGAGCGGAACCCTGCAAAACTAACTAGACAGTTCGTGGGCTGGTATCAGAGTACTGACCAGCTGTCATGATGCATGATGGAGTGAAGGGAGATGAGCGCATGGCCGCATGCTGTGAGGTTGTTGCAAAGACACGTTGAAGTGAGCGGAGCAAGGTATTACGTGAAATGTATTGTGATGTTTTCTCTCTGCTCTCCCTGTGAATTTCTCGTTCTCTTCCCTTTCTTCTTGATATGCTTCCAATCTGATATTTGAACCTTATATCAGTACTTTGACGAAAAATTTCTACAACAATTAGATTTCCTGTGCTTAATTATAATATTATTAATTCTGGTATGTTCGAGACACCAGCGTCTAAATTTGACTAGAAAACAAAATGCGGGTGAGAAAAGAGATTTTGGTATGATTTTGCTGCCTTAAACATGTGTGATTATTTTATGCTGAATGATTGAAAACGCTCAGACCGACACAATATGAATTAAATAACAATAATATTTTATGCGCATACGATGTGCACGCACCATCATCGTCTCAGAATCCAATTGTAAATCACGTTTTTATCCTTAATTACTCAATTAACTTCATCATTCTCAGCCCTCCCAAGCCCAACAAGGACTGGACGTCTATAAATGAAGCTCTCAGCCTTGAATGTTTTCAACACACGCAGACGAGAGACATCAGAGAGTATGGGGGAGGTAGTAAGTGAAGAAGTGTTCATTTCTTCTTCTTCTTCTTCTTCTTCTTCTTCTTCTGCAGAAGCGGAGAAGAACATTTACAAATACATATTGGGCTTCGTTGAGATGGCAGTCGTGAAATGCGCCATCGAACTCAACATAGCAGAGGCCGTTGAAAGCCACCACGCTCCCGTGACGCTTTCCCAGCTCTCGTCAGCCCTGAACTGCGACCCCTCCATGCTGTACCGCATCATGCGCTTCCTCACCAGCCGAAACATCTTCAAACAAGCATCCACCGCCCACGACGCCGGCCGGCATCAGCGAGCCTACGTCCACACCCCGCTCTCCCGGCTCCTGATCAAGAAGAGCGAGGCCAGCATGGCGGCCTTTGTGATGCTGGAGAGCAGCCCCGTAATGCTGGCGCCATGGCATAATTTGAGCGGCAGGGTCCGGGAGAACGGGACTCCGTCGTTCACGAAGGCTCACGGGAAGGACGTGTGGAGCTACGCGGAGGCGAATGCGGAGCACGGCGAGCTGATAAACGAGGCGATGGCGTGCGATGCCCGGAGAGGGATGAGGGAGATCGTGGAGCACTGCCGGGAGGCGTTCGAAGGGGTGAGATCGGTGGTGGACGTGGGCGGAGGGAACGGAACCGCCATGAGAGTGCTGGCGAGGGCATGCCCGTGGCTAAAATGCATCAACCTGGATCTTCCGCACGTAGTGTCGGCGGTTTCCGAGTGCCGGGGGGTGGTGCACGTGGGAGGCGACATGTTCGTGAGCGTTCCGCAAGCAGATGCCGCTTTTCTCATGGTATGTCGTCTTCTCTTTGGACATTGCAATGAATGAATTATATGATGAATGAGTGACACGGCGCAGTGGGTGCTGCATGACTGGGGAGACGAGGAGTGCGTAGAGATCCTGAAGAGGTGCAGGGAGGCCATAAGAGAGAAGGGAAGGGTGATCATAGCGGAGGCAGTGATCGAAGAAGGAGGAGGAGAGGGAGAGGAGCTCGAGGAGGTGGGGCTGATGCTGGACATGGTCATGATGGCTCACACCAACATCGGCAAGGAGAGGACCTTGACGGAGTGGGACCACGTCATCACGGCGGCCGGATTCTCCACCTTCACTGTCCGCCACCTCCCTTCTCCTGTCAAGTCCCTCATCGTCGCCTTCCCCTGACCCACCTCTTCATCAGGCGCACCATCCCTTTCTGGTTCTGTATGTGTGTGGTTGACATGCATGTACTGTATTATATTATTATTATATTCCTCCTCTTTACATCGAATAAACATGCAAGTGGATGCTTTGTATTTCAGCTTTTTCGAGTGTCAGTGGCTGGGGCCTTTTTTCTTCTCACCTTGGGGCTCGCCATCATTATTATATATCAAATTATTAAATATCCATCAATAATATAATACTCCGCTCCCTTAATCAGTAAGATATCATTTGTAATCTTTGCAAAAACACGAGATGGTGACCGGAAGAGAGCGTAGGAACAAGCATAGGACCTAGCAACTACGCAGAAAGGTGTGTGCGTGAGAGAGAGAGAGAGAGAGAGAGAGAGAGGAATCATCGATACTCTGTACTGTAATTTGTATTAGCCATGACATGAGTAATGAGTTAGAGATAGTTACTTGGTTGAACTGAAAGAAAAGAAGCTTGAGAATCGGGCGCTTCAGGAATCAAAATTAAAAATTGGGTGTCACCTCCAAAGTTCGGTCACTCGGCAGGAAATGGATCTAGCAAGTGGCAACACTCCATATAAAACACAGAGACGCATAAGCCGGCCAGAAAGACCAAGACGCGTCATTCTTAATAGAATAAATTGAATTCTATTATTTCTAAACCGCCAGATGTTACATCCGCCTCTTTGGATTTGCATATATAATCAATTATTGGAACTAAAACTATAATCAATTATTTGGCTGCTAACTAACTCCGTTATGGTAAAAACTATAAACTGGGAGGAGGGATCCCGTTTCAGTGCTAAGCAGTGTGATTAGCAGGAGAAGCTCATCACCAAAACGCACAGCTTAATTAAAGTAAGAAAATTCTTGGCCATCCATTATGTTCTAATCTTAGCCGTTGATTTATTTATTATTGTTTCACCTTATCAAACCCTGATGGCTCTGCCCCTCCATTATTTGCGTTTTTTTCCTAGCTTCTCCCAAAACCAATTCACCCAACGTGAGTTCCCCAATCTTTGGCCTATCTCATTAGCAATTTTTTTGGCTCATTTATCCTTTTCCATTATCAATAGAGAGGCTTGGAGGTATTGGATTTGGTTGGACATGCTGTATTCTTCCATGAACCTTATTAGCGGCGGCTGTGATTGGACATCACACAGAGGCATCCGATCTGGTATACTGTGAGGTTTTATGTTTCTTTCTCATCTTTCCTTCTATAATCTACATTCAAGGAATGATTTTTTTGTAACGGGAGAAGACACTATCTCATCTTTCCCTTTATAATCTACATTCAAGGAATGATCTTTTTGGCAATGGGAGAAGACACTATCAGTTTGTTGTTAACTTAGTGTCTAATATAAAGTTCAAATGACCAAATTGAAAGAGTTAGAACTTAAGTGGCATTTTTTATTTTCTAAGAATATGAAGGAAGAGGAACATATTTTTTGTTTGGATCTTTTAATTAGATGACATGAAATTTTTTCTTAGATTTATTTGCGATGATTTATTGCCAAAATTGCTAGATAGCACAAAAATCGTGTGTCTATGACAAGTATTCATCAATTTCTTATCCCCCATTCTATATACTTTTTATCTGTTATGTGTGTCTGAAATAATTTGACTTCTATTTTTTTATATTCTACATATCATTTCAAAATTTCATTTCAAATGCCAACCCTGTCACTCTTACTTCTTTCTCTATGAAATGCTTCTCAGTCAAACATTTCTTCCTCAAATGCTAATGGAAGTAATGTCATGAAATTATAGCAAAAAGACTTATTACAAGTCTCGAAGCTCACTTTGCTAATTGATTTCAAAAGATAGTCGGAATTCAACTCAGCATCAAGCATGTGAGACAAGTTCAACTCAGTGACCTTTGTTAAATATCATTCTTCAAGCATAAACACTCTATAATCAGTCTACTCAAAGAGTAAAGAGTTCAAAAATTTATTTTCTTACTGTTTACTAATATCATATATATATATAAAAAAGCATGCACCTTTCAGTCTCCATTGACCAAATGAACGAAATGGAATCCATCACTTTACTAATAATGTTGTACATAAATTTTAGTTTGTGTGCGCGTGCATGAATGAAACAGAAAGAATACACCTTTCAAATTCCATTGACAAAACAAACTAATCAGCAACTGGCTTCCTCCTTCGCACGGTAAGTCAATGCCTTTTGCGATCAGAATTCAACCTCCTCCCTCATATTGAAAGTCGACGCCTTTCTAGAAACACCAAACCTCCAAACTTTGGCGCCCAGCAGCATTTTCTTTATCACATTCGTTTGTTTCGCTCGCATATCACGTTCTGATTTTTTTGCTGATATTAATATTAAATATTTGATTTTCAAAACAGCCAAGCAAGACAACACCGTTTGCTAACGCATGACTACATCAGTGAATCTCGAAACCTGTTTTTTTATTAAAGCTGGACGTTTTTGTGTGATGAGCTACTCCTGCTCAGGATTATGCTTAGCAGGGAAACTGTTCCCCTGGGAGGAGTGGCTTCTGAAATTCAATTTTACAGTGACAACATTTATTATCTGAGAGAAATTTCCACCTGCCCAAACATACCCTTAAACCACATATCATCGTGCTCAATCGTTCCTCGTCGTCCTCATCGTTGCTTCTGTAGCTTGTGCCGCCATCAATTGCCTCACTCTGCTTCTACAATTCCATCCTCACTTTCTCCGTCTAGTATCAACAAACAGATTAATCAATCAATCTAGAAATCCAAATCTGAAAAGGTGATAACAAGATCAAGCGGATGAAAGGGGTGGTAGTAACATGTTCGGGCGATCAAATAGTCCATCTCGGATTGCTGATTCTGGTCTGGAAAGTCAAAATGAAAGAACCCAGATAAAGAAATTAAACACATAGTGAATAATTATTCTTACAATAATATAATTTTAATCTTATAATATTACAATTACAATATAATATAATATAATTTAAATTTCTATAATTAATTACAGATATATAAATAATGTTATTTTTTAAATACAGTTCAACTAATTTAATAATATTATATACTACCTTGTCAATATTTACATTTTCACAAAGTAATTTATAACATTTAAAATTAATCTTGACTAAATTATTTAAACATTTTTAATTATATTAGAATTAATTTTAAAAAACTATATCCTAACATAATTAGATTATAACATAATTTATTATAATAAAAATTAATTATATTAATCGAGTTTTTCATAATCAATTATAACTAACTAAAATTTAAAGGCATTATCAGTGGCCTAATTCTCCGTACAATTATCCTGCATATAATGATATGAGAACAAGAAAATGTTGGTCTCTTATCTCATCAACGTTCGCCCACAGGAGGGCAATCATTTACTTTCCCCCTCACACACTCTACTAGCCCTGTCACCGACTCACTGCACCTTCAATTATGACCCGCTTTTTTCGTCCGCATAGATAATTTTAGATACGGTCACCAGATCACTCCAAAACTCTGCACGAGACTCGAATTTATAAATGGACGACCTTTTAATCTCCCATCACCTCGCTTTATCTTTCTTTTTCAATGACATCTTGCCACCTTCGTCTGATTTTCTTTCAAGCTCATATAAATACATAATCGAAAAGGTTCTGTACTATCGCGAAAGAAATGTATCAGTTTGACGTCAAAGTTATATTTCAACAAGCCTCAACTTTTAAGATACTTGTGCATGCATTCACTATAGAATTCTCGACTTTAGGAATTTGCCGTGACAAACCCACCCACTCTGCCGCCGGCAAATTACTTGTCACTCGGTGATTTCAGGCGCAGTGTCAATGGCCTATATGCAGCTAACACTACAGAAACCTTACATGCAAGAAACCCCATCATTCCAACAATGACTTCCTTCGGCGTGTAGCTCACTTGCAAATCTCCAGAACCATACCTCGCCCCAAATAAAACAAAGCCTATTGCCAATGCCATGCTCCATATAGGGCCTTCCAATCCCCCCAACAATGGATTGCTTTCCCTCCGCTCTCTAGTGATTGATTCTGGAACTGGCAATCCATCCACAGATCTCTGCAATAATAGCAGATACAAAAAGCCGCCGATCCCACCTATCAAGAAAGCACAGCCTTCATTTTTTCCGGCTGAGAAGGAAACAAAGGATGTACCGAAGAACACCAGCATAGCATCATATAATAGCAATGAGAATTTCAAATCTGCATACTCCCTCATGCTCTCCTCATTTGATATCTTTGGATATTGAGGTAAGGCATCATCATAAGCGATTTTGCCGAAATGGACAAAGGGGTCAATCCCACTTAACTCAGTTACAAGGCTCGGTCTTAATTCCAGCATGGACAGATCGCTTCCTTCCCCAAGCAAAGCATCATCATTCTGAAAGTCATATTGGAAACCAGTGTACTCATGAACCTCCTCTTCTTTTAATGATAATTTGAACTCACAACTAAGAACTGTTATCGACACGCTTCCGAGTCGCCATTGACCTGACCTTAGAAAATAAATAAGAGCAGAATTAGAAGGTTCTGATAAAAATGAATCTAAATCAAATCGCAATTATAACAAGAGTCATCATTACCAAAAGATATACTTCAGAGAAATAAATGGATCTGAATCTCAAATCTGTATTGCATCTGAATGGATGTTTACACTATAAAGGGTCCTTGAAATCGCAGCTAATGACACGTGTACTAACCACTTAACTAAACAATCAACCTTTCTGACCTTGACCATAACTGACTGATTAACTAGTACTCCTCCGGTCCTATATATGGTACAGAATATTAAAGAAACGGCGTATGACTGAGCAAAGACTTTCGACTTTTGACCTATCACTGCAATGATGATGTTTTTCTTTTACCGTTAGATAAAATTGTGTTATTCAAAAAGTAGTCCTGAATTGTAATCGAGCAACGATATCTGTTGAATCTTAACCACTTTAAAAACAAACCTCCATCATAAATTTACCTGATTCAACGCCAATCCAGAGAGCTTTAAGTCTTGCAATTTTAGGTCCATCAAAGATAAATTCATCAGTGGAACCTCTTTGGAAATGAAGCGTATTAACATCATTTATATCCCCTGTTACTGTAGAATGATCCATCATCAAACTTGCAGGTATCCTTTGCAATATTGAACGCCCATATTCATCTATCAAGCACATAAGGACTCCAGCATTCAAGTCGCTTAAACTTGAGCCATATATGTTACTGGTACATAACTTGACCCTGAATAAAGACTTTGAGGTATCCTCCTTCAGAGACAAAGAAATCCCTTCTATTGATGTGTTTGTGCAGACTTTCACCTCAGAGCCAGACAGAAGATGAGAAGGCTTCACATAGCTCTGAAAATCTGTTGCACGAACAGCTTAGCTCCTTTACACATTCATGATCTGAAGATCAAATTAAGATTTCTTTGAAGAATAAAAGCACATTATCATCGCTGCATGGCCCAAGTTAATTCTCATTCTTCGTGAACGAAAAAGATAGAGAGAACAAATGCACAAGTCTTAAACTCTACCACAGAATCTACAGGGAAAAAATGGGCAGCCAAGATTTAAGACTGTTAACAGTGTTAAGTTTGATCAATCCTATAAACATGGTAACAGGTGTCAAGTGTAAAACATGTAGAAAATAGTCACAATACTATACGACAGCAAAAATCTATGGAAGTATGGAACCGCTAAGTTATGCCATGAGTCACCCCAGCCATAGGAAGTGGCTTGCCATCAGAAGCCAGTAAAATCCAAGCGTTTTCAGTGATATGAATCATCTATAGAGTGGCCAAAGTAAAACACAAGCTACTCAGGTCGGTGTGTTAAAATGTTTAACTTGAACAACCATGTTGATGCACAAAAGCAATTGATTATTATAGTATTGATCAACATGGTAGTTTAACGTCAACGAGTGATGTAAACAATGTTAACCTTATTGGTTGGTATCGAACCTGCGGTAAGCCATTTCAGAAATCCCAAGTGACACTCGACGACGAGTGTCATCGATATTCTAATTAGGAAGCATTCAAGAAAACCCATCACAAACAAACTTGGAAACTAACGAGAACCAAATTCAAGGTAATCATGGCAACTTTCTAACCCAAAAGAGAGAAAAAAAAAAAAAAAAGCTCGAACGGTTTCCATAAAATGGGGCAAAACCCAACGGACAACGAAAATAGCTTTTGAGCGCAGTGAACATATTGAAAGATTTTTTTTAAAAAAAAATGTGAAAGTGAATTAGTGTACCCTGGAAAACAGATCGTTTGGCCCGAACTGCAAATCGGGAAGGGGTGACCGAAGCGCGAATTCTCGGCGGATGGAAAGGCGAGAGGAAGAGTTTTGGTTTTCGTGTTTGGATGCTTTGAGTGGTTGAATATGCCCAACTCGGCAGAGGAATTGCTTCCATAGCTTTAGCCTTTAAGCCCCACGACCCCGGACATTCGACAATCAAAAAACCCAACGGCCCACAGTCCAGATCGGTAAAAGGGAATCATACATATTTCTGGGCATTCATCTCCAACGCCACAAGCTTTCTGGATCTCGCAATTTGTAAATATCCCGCATGGTTAGATTTTTCTTTTTCTTTTTGTTCTTTTTATTTTGTTCAAAATCGAACTGGGACCATCTTCGGTGCTCAAATTGTTTAATAAATATTTTTATCATCAATCTATGCAGTACCGATTTAATATGGACGTCCATATTTAAAAATTCTCAACTTATACTTTGTTTAAAAAATATTTTTTAAAAAAATGGCCATTAGGATATTATTGTTATTTTTGATACTATATTTATCTAAATACAAATTTGTAAAAATTATAAAAAAATTAACATTAAATTTGGAAATCCCGTACTATATCTAGAACATTAATTTATAAAAAATTAATATTAAATTAAATAATTTAAATTAAATATGTAATAGATTGATGATAAAAAGATTTATTAAAAAATTATAAACTTTTATTTTAATAAATATAAAATAAAATATTATAAATTAAAACAATTTGGACAATCCAAATTAAATCTAAGTGACCCATATTTATTTTTTAATCATGAAATGATGCATGATAAGTTTATTTTATATGTTTAATCTTTTATATCGTGGTAGTCCAAGTTGAAAAAAATTCTATATTAAAAAGACTATTTCTATCATAATATACTTTTATGAAATGATCTTAATTCTTAATTACTATAATAGCCTATTTTTTATCACATTAAGGTTTCAAAATATTATTTAAAGTTTTTTGTACCATGGTATTATTTTAAAAAATAAGTTTTATTCTTTATCGTCATGACTAGCTTTTTTCTATCATGGTATGTTTTTAATGAAGAAAGTTCACCATAAAATTATATAATTTGTAAAAAATTGATGTAAATTTTAGAATGTTACAAAATTCATTACTAATTTTAGATTTAAAAATTGATCGGCCACTACTAATCTTCATCACAAATATGACTTCCCATGCCATCTCTCGTGTACACATCACCCTTACCACCAGCCATACTATCACCATGTCAATAATCTATTTTAATCCTCATTGTTTGTGATATTGTCTTGTCTCGAACTCAAGATCTCCCTATTTTTATAATAACCTTTTGTTAGTTGAACTAGAATGACTTTTCAATCTCAATACTTAAAATTTAATATATACTAATCAATTGAACACATATAGTTAACTTAATGTATCAAAATATATATATATATATATATATTACTATATGATTATTTAAATATATTGGCAACATGTATCATCTCACACACGCGCTAACACATATAAATATATAAATCAACATATATATTATTAGTTAATAAATATATTATTTAATATCAATTAATATATTTTATGAAAATAAATATTTTTGTATATTATTTTATATTATGTATGTTATAATTTAAATATTTTCATATGAAATAAATTATTTTTACATTCAAGCTTGTATGGTAAAAGAAAAATTATTTGTTATTTTTTCTATATCATTTTATATTACATATTTCACTTTAATAAGAGAAAAAATTTTTGTGTAATTGTTTAATTTGGTAGTTATTAAGCTTTTTTCATTGATTCTCTCTATATTTGTTATATTTTTTATTTTTATACAATATTTAAGCATATTTTACTCATTTTTAATTAAAAATATCTATCACTAATCTGTCATTAATGTAAAAATTTAGTGATGAAAATCAATGACAAATTTAAATCTATTTCTAAATTTATAAGATTTTACCAAAATGTGATGACATTTTATATTCATAATTAATCCATTACTAATTTATGCAATTAGTGACAAATGTCTATAATTAGTGATGAATTAAAGATCTGTCACTAAGTATTTATCATTAATTTTAACTTTTTATAGTATTTATTTATAGTTAGATGATTCTTCCTTAATTTGTGTTTAAAAATAATTAAAATATCTTTTCTTGTCAAGTGTCACATGTATCTTATTAATCTAATGTGGCAAAATCTATTAATAAAATAAGAGTTTTTAACAGTAGAAGGGTTTGAAAAAAAATAAAGGTTAATTTGAAATATTTAAAGACGAGGGAAGCTAAGTGATATACAACTACAATAAAAATAAGGGAGTTTATTATATTTTGGTCAAAAATTAATCAATAATTCTAAGCAAAGGAGCCATTGTGTGAGGAGAAAACCTGGACACTAATTCATGCATTGGAAAAAACTTATAATTTTTCATTTCATGTCAAATGGAAAATCGCTTGAGATCAGCTAATCTGTTTGAATGAGTGGGTGGAATTTATCGAAATTATAGAATATTTAGACTTTTTTTAAAAAAGAAAAAAATTCAGTTGAAGCAGGGCATCTCCTATAAGATTGGAGTTTATAGTAATCCGAGCACTTCATTTCTGTTTGGCCGAATCGAACACTTGATTTGGTTCTGACTATGGGACAATTCCTCATGGTGCTTGAGAGTTAATATAGACCCTTTTGTCTAATAAACTAATTTTTAAAAAAAAAATGTCGTTTTGTTTGGATGGTTCCTAATTAACTAAACAGCTTTATTTAATGAAAAATTTTTATTGAAGTTTTATAATTTTTATGAAATTATTAACATATTCTTGTAAGAAAAAGTGTGGGTGCAGACTGTGGAACCAAATTTGATGGGGTGAGGGGAGGCAGGGTTGGCAACAGAATTGCGTGGCATGAAGAGATGGAAAAGGAAAGTTCATCTGGATATTTGATTATATTACATAGGTAATCAGTGTCAGGATTTTCAAGGAGTGATAACTGATTTCTTAGAATTGAAATTAATGATAAGAATAAAGTGCATGTCAATAATTTTTTCAAGGAGTGAAAATTATTGGGAAAAATAAATTTAAAAAAAATAGCGTGGAAAGGAAGGCGAGTGTCGACAATTTCATTCCATTATTTGAAAGATTGCAGTGAAGTCGCAGATTCATTTCTCCATAATCGGCGTTTCATATAAAATTATAATGAGGGATGGCGGGAGGGAAGAGTTGGGAAAAACATGTGTCTAAAATCTATTATTTTACAAACAAAATAATTTAAATAAATTATTACACGAATATAGCAGAGTATAATAAAATATTTTATTTAATATTATTTTGATCACATTCAAATTATGTTATATTATTATTTAAATACATGAATTTTAAATACATGAACAGTGTGTTTTTATTGTTTTCTGCTATAATTTAAACTTGAATTAAATAAATGTAAAAATATTAAATATTTAGATTGTAGTTTCATGTATGCTTAATTTAAATGATTTATTTTAAATGTAATCTTATTTTTTTTGTCTATTTTTTAAAAAAATATAAGCGGGCTAACCGGTGAGGTACAAGTTTAAGTTATGCAAGATGGGCCAAAACTATCTCACATATAATTGAATTCATTTTTTCTAATTCAACCTGCAACTTTTTGTAGGTTAGCAAGTTGAGCTTACGAGACCAACCCATATTATCGGCTCTAAATGTGGGACGTATCCAAGACATTGATTCAATACTTCATGCAGCTAGGGGTGGAGAGAGGGGGGATTGGCAGGGGCCATGGCTGTAGGAGTTATATATTTTTGGCTATTGCAAATTAACACATTATAGAAGTTATGAAACACTAAATAAAATTCTCATTTCAATTCTATATGTAATTTTTTATGCATGTATTAAACAACTATTTTAATCGTTTGAAGATATGGTTGTCATAAGATATACTTATTTTCAATAAGATAATGTTATACATGTTCTTAAAGTATTGGTGTCATTTTATTTTGCTTTTATTTTATATTTAACGAAAGAAATTGTAAAAATTATTATTAACAAATTTTATTAAACATTACGACAAAAATTTCAAAATATATTAAATGCTATATACTTGATATCTATCATAAAATTACTTCAAAAATTAAGAGGGTTGGAAAAGATGTTCTTCCAAAATTTTTTTTTTTAAATAATCAAGCTATTAAAATTTATAATTTAAATTATTTTTACTCGATATAATTCAATAATATATTTAAATTATTTATGTGATGATAATTTATACTGTGAAGGAAATTGCTAAAGTATTTATTATAAACATAACAACTAATGATTTTTATTTCATAAAAAAAACAACGAACAAAACTTAAAAATATATATGTTATTATATATGTATAAAATTAAATATAAATATATATATATATATATATATTAGAATTTATATTATATCGATGATATATATATACACATAATTTTTTTATTATTATATATATTTTATCATTTTGGTCTTCCGTTAAAATTTTTTGGCTTCGCCTGGCATGCAGCCAAAAATTTCCCTCCATTTCTCCTTTACAAAAACCTGCTTTGTGGTTCCGCCAACCCAAAAAGGGAAAAAATGAAATTTTTTTTAAAAAAACAGACTGCGAACGGGAAGGCAAGTGGCATGTGGGCTGCGACGACACTTCCTTCAATTATTTGAAAGATTCCTGTGATCTTGCACATTCAACCTCTTATCATTTCTCTCCTCCATCAAATCCCACTTTTTTATCCAAATGCCATCACTTTTGACGTCAACAAGAACGTCTTCATTCAAAGATTAGACTCTTGAATAGAAAAATGGGAGCATCCCGCTCAAGCAAGCATAGTTTAGCCCTCAAGTATCTTTCAATCTATTCACCTCTGAATCGAATCTTCCCTGCTGTCACAGTTTAGCTTGAATTCCGCAGTAATTCAGGAAAGCAATGCGTCGAGGCAGCCTTCACTTTCAGGAGCCTCCTTGGCGGATTCACCTTCCAGTCTCCCTCCCTCCACAGATATGCGGGCCCCCGCGTTTTTTCGCACTGGGAGCCTCGACTTTCAGGTGCCACTTTGAAACATTACGGCTCAATTCTTCACGTTATCATGTACGGCCGATTATCCCATACACCCGCACCCAATATCTTGGACTCTTCCTTATCACACTGGCTTGCAATAGAAGCATCAATGCCTGGTAGGTATTTGTGATTTGGACGCAAAGAGCACCACTGCCTGCTTTTACAAGCAGTTGACCTTGTCCTTCATGATTGGAATCCTCCTGCTCTTTTAATCAACCAAAAAGGCCCTCGCAATCGAGATTCTAGACCAAGCTCCCAAACACGCCCCCCACAAAAACAACCAAAAAAAAAAACATGGAGGATTCTCGGCAAAAACTCATTCTTGACCATAACACACAAACTGAAGCCACCCCCACCCTCCATTCACCCAAGAAGCTAGCTCTTCTCCCTCTCGTCTTTCTCATCTATTTTGAGGTCTCTGGTGGTCCGTATGGGGAGGAGTCTGCCGTGAAGGCTGCGGGGCCGCTCTTGGCCATCCTCGGCTTCCTCGTCTTCCCCTTCATCTGGAGCATTCCGGAGGCTCTTGTCACGGCGGAGCTGGCCACTACCTTCCCCGGCAATGGAGGGTTCGTAATCTGGGCTAACGAAGCTTTTGGCCCTTTCTGGGGCTCCCTCATGGGCTTCTGGAAGTTCTTCAGCGCGGTCATAAACTTAGCTTCGTATCCTGTCCTCTGTATAGACTATGTCAAGCTGGTGATTCCATCTCTGTCTTCTGGCTTACCTCGCTACCTTTCCATATTTTTCTCCACTATCGTGCTGTCTTTTCTGAATTATACTGGTCTAACTATAGTAGGCTATACTGCTGTGGCTCTAGGTGTTGTTTCTCTGATGCCGTTTGTATTGTTGTCTTTGATTTCAATTCCCAAAATTGATCCCAGCCGATGGTTAAGTCTGGGTCAGGCGGGTGTGAAGAAGAACTGGACTCTGTACTTCAACACCCTGTTTTGGAATTTGAACTTTTGGGATAGTGCTAGTACTTTGGCCGGTGAAGTTGAGAAACCCCAGAAAACATTCCCGAAAGCCTTGTTATCCGCTGGTTTGCTTACATGTTTAGCTTACATAATTCCTTTGCTGGCCGCTACAGGAGCCGTACCACTTGATCAGGAAAAATGGGTCGATGGGTATTTTGCAGATGTGGCCGAGATGATTGCCGGGGAGTGGTTGAAAATCTGGATGGAAATTGGCGCTGTTCTGTCCATTATTGGACTATATGAAGCTCAAATGAGCAGCGCAGCATACCAGGTTCTGGGCATGGCCGATTTAGGATTTCTGCCTCGAATTTTTGGAGAAAGAGCGAGGTGGTTCAAGACTCCTTGGATGGCCATTTTGGTAGCAACGGTAATAGCGCTCGCAATGTCTTACCTGAGTTTCACAGAAATCATATCCACAGCGAATTTCTTGTACAGTTTGGGGATGCTTTTGGAGTACGCATCTTTTCTCAGGCTGAGAAGGAAGTTCCGGACATTGGAAAGGCCATTTGAGGTCCCAATAGGATTCCCGGGTCTGGTCATCATGTGCTTGGTGCCTTCTCTGCTTCTGTTAGTCGTGATGGCTGTCGTTACCAAAGCCGTGTACGGGGTCAGTGCTTTCCTGACTTCTCTCGGTATCGTGTTGTATTATTTCCTGAATCTCTGCAAGGCCAGGAATTGGATCCCATTCACGAACTCACTAGGCACGATGGGAGATGAAGACGACCATAATTTATAGACGATGGGGATTATTTAAGTTTTATTTTGTCAATGTGAAGAAAGTTACCGCCCAAGAATACGGTTTTTTATTTGAGGTTAAAATTACGATGCAAGTGTGATGTAACGCCGTCTTTCCCCTTATCTTCATTAATGAGTAGGAGCATTCACACCAACGTCAACAGGTCCTTGCAGAAGCCTAAACTGCTCGGGAAAAGACGGGGAACGAAATACTGACGAGTGACAGGCACCTATTCATCAAATATGCGCGCGCGCACAACAATACTTTGACTTTGATTGGAGATGATGGATCCGCTGTGGGAAAGAGGAAGAAAGACAATCGTGGTTGCAGGGTAGTGGGGCGAACGATGAGAAGGAGGTGGGCGGGCTGATAGGATTACAGCAGCATGAGATCACCCTCAAAGCTGAGCCATTTGGGTGAAACGCATAATCATTAATCAAGATTATTTTATAGAGATAACCGATTAGAGACATTTTAGAACAATCACCGTAACTTAACTAATGAAATGATTATCATAACGAAACAACATGTTAACAAGAAGAAATTCTTAATAAAACATCATGTTGATAGTACAATGGTTAGTTTAGGATACAATTTCCAACTGTGCTTGCTTCAAATCTTGCCATTTCCTTCGCCTTTTCATTTTGGTTGCTGTTTCTTTGAAACCAATCTTTCAAGCTTGATGCATTTGTTTTGCTATCGAAATCAGACATGACTACCATTTTCTTTTGTTATTTTCGTTCTTTGAGGAGGTACAAACAGGTGGGTCTTAACGGGGCCTCCTGGATTAGAACTGTAAGCCAGCTATCATTTGTTTGTACATGACTTCTGGTTTGCGTCGCTGGTTTCTACAGGCCGAAGATAAGCAATCTTGCTTTCCATGTGACATGCTGTTATGCTGCATTTACCCAAAGATTCTGGTCACGTCCTTTTTAACATTCACTTGTATTTCTTTGTTTATTCGATCATACTTTCTACAAAAGCAATTCTCCTTTGTATTTCTTTGTTTATTCGATCATACTTTCTACAAAAGCAATTCTCCTTCAATGAATTGTTCTTCAAACAATTCAACCGTATGAGTTTATAAAAAGAAACTTCGATATGATATCGTATATCATAAAAATGTTAAAATATAAATATACCCTCTACCTGAAAATTTAAGTTGAGATCACCTGCCTTCAGGGGTGGACCCACGTTATAGGTGGAGGGGGCCTTGGCCCCCCAACCTTGCCCCCTTCATGTTCACAGTAGGCGGTAACACACACAGAGAGAGAGAGAGAGAGAGAGAGAGAGAGAGAGAGAGAGTTATGAAGGAGGAGGTGAGTGAGTTTTGAGAAGGTGAGAGAGAAGGAAAAGGAAGCAACCAGGTTCAGGACCTGATAGTCATCAATGAAAGGAGGGATTGGCATTTGAAAACAATTTTTTATTTTTTATTTATTTAGCAAAATTGCATTTTTCACCTACTAACTTTATATGATATTTTAGTTTTAATTGTTTATTATATTTTTTGATCAGCTTTAATTGTTTATAATATACTCCCCTAATCTTATTTGTAGTGCATTTTTTAGAAGTAATTTTTAGCATTAAATATATGATATTTTGTAATCACTGAATTACTTTTTTCAATTTTATTCTTCATTGATTAACATAAAAATATTTAATATAGTTGTATCATGATTTAAAGTCAATGATAAAAATAAAAATAATTTTTTTTATGATATCAATAAAAAAAATAATTTTTTTAAGATGCATCAAATGAATGATAGCATTTTATAATAAAAATTGAAAGGTGTATTTTTCATTATTATAGATCATGAAATGTCATATATTTTCAATAAAATTTATTTATGGAATCTGTAAAATAATATATTGAAAATGCAAACTTTTATATATTTTTGATAATTTTTTCTTGAAACTAATATATCATAAATAATAATGATATTCCACTTTTTATATTTTTTTTAGGTTTTTAGTTTTTAACATTATATGTAATTATACATAATTGTTTGTGGTGAACAACAAATATTAGGCGTGCTAGAGACATTAAGTCTTAATTGATAACAAAAAGGTCTTAAGCTCCCTTATCATAGTTCACTCGAATGTAAAAAGATATAAGATTTTGGTAGAACAAGCATTTGATTTTATTGAAATGTGAAAAAGTTATAGATCTAAACTGAAAAATTAACTGATAAACTAAAAAGCTAAAAAGTGTAAAATTGTAAGTCTTTGATTGAGTGTTGGTTAATTTTTTCTGTGTCTTCTTCTTCTATTTATACTGTCAGAGTAGCAGCAACCTCTTCTGTAAGACCTAGTATGTTTTGCTGAAGAATTAAGGATCTCGTGAAACTCATGGCACATTCTTTATTCCATACTCTCCATTTTGGTAATCAGCCCGTTTTATCGAAATACTTGAGCGTAAAGCCTGTAAATTCCAACATTACTTGAGATTGTGTTTTTCATGCTAACGATCTAATGTCTATAGCAGACGAGATTTTAACATGCTTATTTATTGTAATTTTTATTAGGCCTAGGGGCCGGCTCTTTTTATTTATATTGGGCCTGACATTTCAGTTATTTAGTCCAATTAACCTTATGACTTACCTTGAGTGATGTTTCATATTTTAGCCCAAATAATAATTTATTATTATGTATATTCTTATTCTATGAATTATTTCTTATAAAAAAATAAACAAACTTAATTAATTATTAAAAAATCCCCCCCCTTTATAAATTTGGAAACTGGTTCCGCCCCTGCTTGCCTTTGCAAAGATCAATTAAACGGACGTTAATTCGCATTAAATCTGTGAACAACTGTATTACATTCCAAAACTACACTTATTATATACTCAAGCCTCAACCTTAGATAGAATATAGTAGAACGGAAAAGTCAAAATATAAATACTATGAAGACATGTTTTTACTTTAAAAAAAAAAAAAGAACTTGGAGGTTGGGACTAATCAATTCCGCGCCGAAAACTACCCATTAATGTTATTTACACTGACTGAGGCCGAACTTTTCTCTGCCATCTTGTCATTTTTCCCGGTGACGCGACGTGAAAGAAAAAGGAAAATAAAAATTTGCTATTACATGATTGAGAATGTGATGATAATTCGGGTCGGCTCCTCTGCTTTCGTTTCAAAATTAAGAGCATTTTTTAAAACAAAAGAAAAGTGAAAAAGCAGCGCTAAACGAAAAAGCAAGCCGCGACAAGAGGGGAAACTTCATTCTTCACGTTCAATTATTCATAATTGAGCGAACCGGACCGGTCTTTTTTTTTTTTCAGACGCTTCCATTTTCCTTTTCTTCTGTTATTTATTCCCTTTCCTTCCGTTATCAGTTATCACTGTTCCTGCTCTCATCCGTCTCCCATGCCCCATATGTATACATGTTTATCTTTTCTCATCTTATTTTCGTAATGGTAGATCATGCTTACTCTTCATCTATGGTATATAAGCAATTCACGTTAAGTGATCACAACAATGTTATGGCGCAGACCTAAACTTTTTAAAAAAAAAAAAAAATTAACATTGCCAGGCAATATGTCAGTCACGGACAATTTGTTTCTTAAAAGTCCAAAGTTCAAAAAAAAAAAAATGTCTTTACATTTTTTCAACACACAAGAAAATCTGCTCTTTTCGTTCCATTCATGTTTACTTAAAAAAAAAAAAAAAACAAGAGGGTGCAACCCAATCCATTTCTATTCCACGTGTCACTTCTTCATCCGTCCTAATCACCTCGTGTTCCCTTTTCACTCTTCACTCCACGTACGCTAGTCTTATCCTCTTCGATCCGCACACTGCAGTGAACTGGAGTGGCGCCCAATCTCAGCACCATAAAATATCCTTGAAAAAACACCCAAGATCTTAACTAAATAATTATAATTGATGCTAAAAATTATGACATAAGTGAGAGAGTTCATGATAAGAAAATTAAATCAGAGCAGGAAGTGTAATTTCGTGACTTGTTGGAGAAATGTGAACGATGGGAAGTTTGTGTTGTAATTTCGTTTGGATGGCAGTGAGTTAGAAAGGGGGGTGAAAACGGAACGCCGGGGCCTGGGCAATGAGACGCGACTGATGGTTTTGTAAATATGGATAAATGGATAAAAGTAACAACCAGTCAGCCGAGAGCAGTATAAATACAAGTGCAAATATCTGCAGACTCCAAGTATCGGTTTATCCACTTTCTCTTCGCATCCGAAGATTCAAATGCCAAAACATCCATTCTCTTCAAATTCAAATTCAACTTCAAATCAAATGCGCCTCCCAGATTTGATCCCTGATCTGCCCCACGATCTGGCGCTGGAATGTCTCTCCCGGCTGCATTTCTCCGTCTACTCGCTCGCTTCCCGCGTCTCCCCTCAATGGCGTCACCTCCTCCGCAGCCACTTCTTCTACCGCCACAGGAAGAAATCCGGCCGCACCCGTAACCTCGCCTGTTTGATTCAGGCTCTCCCCCCTAAAAATCTAAACGATGGCCTCAAGCCGACCTCCTCGCCTGCTTATGGCGTCACCGTCTTCGACCCTCTCAGTCTCACCTGGGAACGCCTCCGCCCCGTTCCCGATTTCCCCCTCGGCCTGCCTCTCTTCTGTCAGACCGCCAGCTGCCAGGGCAAGCTGGTGCTCATGGGAGGCTGGGACCCCCTCAGTTACGAGCCCCTCACGGACGTGTTCGTCTACGATTTCAGGATGAATGAATGGAGGAGGGGGAAGGACATGCCGACGAAGCGATCGTTCTTCGCGATCGGATCCCGCGACGATCGGGTCTACGTGGCTGGCGGGCACGACGAGAACAAGAATGCGCTCAAAACGGCGTCGGTTTACGACGTGGTGAAGGACGAGTGGGCGGAGTTGCGGCCGATGAGTCAGGAACGGGACGAGTGCCAGGGGAGGGTGGTGGGGGAGGAGTTCTGGGTGGTCAGCGGGTATGCTACGGAGCAGCAGGGAAGGTTCGAAGGGTCGGCGGACGCGTACGGATTCCGGTCGGGCCAGTGGAGGCTGGTGGAAGGGGTTTGGGAAGCGGGTCGGTGCCCGAGGTCGTGCATTGGGGCGGGGAAGGACGGGAAGCTAGTGAGATCGGGCGAGCTAGAATCGGAGCTCCGAGTCGGGGTATGCGGGGTGACGCTGGGTTCGACGACGCTGGTGACTGGAGCGGAGTGCCAAGGGGGACCGCATGGGTTCTACTTGCAGGAAGGGCAGGATTGTAAATTGAAGAATATCACCGTGCCCGATGATTTTTCTGGTTTTGTTCAGTCAGGGTGCTGTGTTGAGATTTAGTGAAACCGGAGCAGAGTGACATGGAATTTTCTTTCGGAATAGAGGGTGGTACACTATATTCAGCCGTTGATGTTATGCGTACAAAACACTGTGACTTGATCTTAAATATGTAAATATAAATAATGAGATGATGTATGCACCATTAATTATTTTAAGTGCATAGAGGACCAACTCATGATGCTAGGATATACTTCTTGCGATGTCCTTTTTATAAATTATTTTTAACTGACTTATCAGCATTAATATATATTAACTAATTTAAAATTTTGATCCTAAATTAATGGAGAAAGAGTGTTGGGGGGGGGGGGAATTAAAAAAAAAAAAACAAAGAAAGAACAAAAGTGATTGGAGATGGGTGGAAATGTTATTGTTGGAAACTGAAATGCCATCTTGCTTTTCATTTTTTCCTTCGAATACTATACAAAAGGGTATTTTTGGAAATGTACTTTAACAATTGCAAAAAACAGGGATAAAGGATTAATATTACAGATCAAGCCAATATTCTGGAAAAGTACTTATTTAGAAAAAAAAAACGAGTAATTTAGACCAGGGAATTTGAGCACATTCGGTTTAGTCTTTTAAGGGTCAGATTTGCCGGAGGATGCAAATGCATTCATCCTAGATTACGCAGATTTGGAAAAGTGTTAACTTCGTTTGGATTTGAATAGATGCCAGGTTATAAGATCCAAATAGTTTGCTTTCAAGAATTTCATATTCTACAAGTATTCTTAAGAATACAAATATATACAAATATCTAACCTATGATAAAAAAGATTAAAGATTAAAATTATCCAGCACAACTAATTTATTTAAATAAATCCACAGCTCAATGGTCAAAAGAATTTTCTCAACATATTTGTGCAGCGACGGTGATTTTCTGCACCGGTAAATCAAGAAAATGATAAAACTTGAAATAATGTGTAAAAATTATCATCATCATTATTATTTTTGTTTTAGACATGCCCTCAATTAAATACCTTCCCAGGATGTGCATTCTATAATAATTTTCATTCTCTATAAGGATATTTTAAGGAAAACTCATTAATTACACCTAAAACTTTAAAGTGGGACTCGTAAGTTTGAAACTTGCAGATAAGATGAAAGAGAAATACCAAACTTGTCAAGCTTGTGACGGGACTTTGGGTTTGTTTTTCAGCGATAATTTAATTACAGTGACGTTTGCCTTTTCGTTCATTGGATTCCCACGAGCATTTGAGCAAAGACGGGGCAAAGTTTCACGCACGCTTCTTTTTCCTTATCAACTCCAATCACGCACAAAATAAGTCTCTATCATTTAAAATATCACCATTCACTTGACCACAAATAAAAATCACCACCCCAAAATTCCAACTTGGAACACAACAGGATACGTGATTTCTGCAGCTTGGCACCAGATAAGGAAAAACTTGATATTTCATAGTGTATAAAGTCGCGTTGTACAATGGGGATCTCTCATTATATGTTAAAAAAAAAAATGGGCATCACAAATATGTATGTATCATGTATGGTAAATTGGCTTCTCAACTCAATTCAAAAGTAAACGATACACTCAGCTCCTTTCATAGAACAAGATGTAAGCCTCACAGGCAAGAACTTCTTTAAGGGAAACTTCACGTACATAGGCATCGCTTGCATGATACCATGTGCAATTCTCATTCTTTTCATCGGCCACTTTGTTCCTCTGACCCCCTCTTACATAGGCAACATAGTGACCCCCTCTCATTGTCCCCGAGTGCTCCACCACGCCTACCAAGTGGTATTCATGCTCCTTCTCTTCAGTCATGCACCTGTTTTTTAAGCCATAAACAAAATATTGTTTTACTGCCAAGACTTTTATTCATCAACTTGATTACAGTTTTCATGGTGTAGAGCCATCCAAATGCGTACTCCACAAGTCACCTTGACCTGTAAATTCTATATGTTCTACAATCAAATTTTCATGGCAAGATATTACTTAACCTTCTTCCATGGCAATAATAATGCACAGCCAAATGCAAGCCTCATTGTTGAACTCTAGAGAATCTAATCACGGATGCTCAACAAATACATGCCCCACAACTTCAACTTTGCAGGCAAGAAATTATTTCCTTCTTTCCCCTTCTCCTTTTGGCCCCCTAAGAAAAAATTATACTAGGAATGAAGAAGCATACAAAAGAGGAGGATTGGTTATCCTCTCAAGTCTCGGAAAATAAAGGAGATCACCAGACATATGCATCCTCTCACTCAACTACATGACACCTTGACCGTTCCATACTGCCTTCTTTTTCTTGCATGTATCATAAACTTTTTCTTCAACTACCATTATTATCCACAAGGTACCTAATAAACTTAAAGAGAAGTTTTACTATACTACTATAAAACCAGCTACGTTATATGATAATAAATGTTGGGCTTTAACGGGACAACAAAAGCTTAAAATTAGAATAGCAGGGATGAAAATGTTGAGACAGATGTGTAGACATACATGTAAAAATAAAATCAAAAATATAGACATACAGCAAAATGTAGGCGTAGTACCTATTGAGAGGAAAGTAGTAAAAAATCATTTGAAATAATTTGGACATGTACAAAGAAGACTGCAAGAAGCACCAGTGAGGAGAGTGAAACATATAACTTTAACCCTGTTAAGAAAAGCAAAGAAAGGCCAAACAAAACACTTTTGGAAGTTATTAACTGTGACCTCTTAGGAAAATTTCTAAAAATTTGGTAAATGATAAAGCACAATGGTGTCGTGTAATTTATGTACCTGACTCCGCCTAGTGGAATAAAGGCTTCTTGTTATTGTATCATTATTATCCATACGTTAATGCTTGTCAACATGCATGACAATGAGTGATAACGTTTCTTTCTATGTTTCCTTCTTTCATCTCTTTCTCCTCTATCCATTTATCCAAGATATTAAATCACCCGAGACTCGACATAGTGCACTGAAGTGGATGGGCTCAGTTCCAATAACACAGAACATCTCAAGAATACAAAACACTAAAGAGCATATGAATAAACATAATGCCTGCCATTTTATTCGCCACCAAGCCTGATTTAGTATGATACAGAAGTCCGTAAACGTTAAGCACTCATCCATAATTAGAATACCCAAAGTTGGCATTTTGAAGGATGCCTTGCCCCAGAAATCAAAAGATATGGATCTTGCTTTTACTAGAAAGATTGGTTGCTGGTTAGATTAATGAACAAGTGTTTACCACAAATTTAAATAACCTACACCTACTGAATCAGAAAAGGGGAGGAGTGGTATCATAAAGGTGTGAATATCAGCAACAGACAATCAGGTCCAGTCAACAACAGATAGATTTTTAAGTTGCACTTTTGATCATAAATAAGCTCAAGACTTTTTTCACAAAAAAAGCATTATACGTTATAACAGGTCATTTGAGCCGATCGGGTTTAGATATCAACATTATGGTATTTACCAAATCCTAACTACACAAATAAAACAATTTATAAGACGCAATAAATATATATACCCATCAGTTTCTACAGGGGTTGATGAAGTAAATCAGCCATAAACAACAAATAAAGAAAAACCAATCTTGTAAACAACGGTAAAAATAAAAAATAGCATTCCCAATATTGCAAAACTACAGGCAGTCAAAGCACCATTAAGAAACAATGAAAATAGAAACTGGGCAGGTCACTTTCTTATCCAACATGAAGAGAGAAGGGGCAACTTCATTGGACTTTAAAATCTTTAAAATTCTCTATTTTGTTTTAGCTCTTTGCAAGGATATCTCATCCTTTGTTGTACTTTTCCACTCCTCTACAATGAAATTTCTTCTTCTGTCCAAATTTATCCTCATGATCTGATCAAACTTACTCTTAACGTGAATAATGACTACACTAAATTGGAAAAGATCATATCAAGAATGAGCAAAACAAAAGGAAGCATGCAGAAGAATCGTGTCCACAGTAGAAGTTAAAGTTCAGAGTTCAAACAAAACCTAGTAAAGTTCAGACAAGTACCTTGGATCCATATATGGTCTGAGATCAATAGTTTCTTTGAAACTGACATGGCCACTTAGTTTACTTAAGCGACCTCGAATGTCTTGGCTGAACCTCTTCAAATGAATAGTGAGAACAGGAGGTGCTTTATAAATAAGAATGCTCCTAGTTGCATTCCTCTTCACTTTCACGCTTTTGGTATCCACCTCTTCATCTTTAGTGACTCTTGAGTCATTGTTTTCATGATTCAGCAACTGAGAATTTCTTTCCTGTATATCTCCAGTTGCATGCTGTACACTACAAGAATCAGCAGCTAGACCATTTTCTTCTTTGTGAACTTGGCAAAAACCGGAAGATTCATCATCATATATATCTTTCTCCTTAAACGTCTCATCTTCCCCCTTATTAATGACTGTATTCAACTCATCCGTTTGACCATTTTCTAACTCTCTGCAATCTTTAACATCTGAAACCAAACTGTCTTTAACTTGGTCATTTTTAACATTACCATTACCTGTTCCGACCATAGTATAACAAGAGTTAGTTGTATGCTGGGGGTCAGCATTGCGTACAGTCTCTTCTCCATTGGATACCCTGTTTTTCTGCGTTTTTGCTTCCACTTTCTCACGATGCAGAATTTTTGAACAGTTCTCACAATGCCACGCATTTTCATTTGAGAGAAGCTCGGGTTTTATAAAATGAGCCAAGCAACTATCTACAGAGACTGGTGAATCTGTATCATCTACTTCATCTGGATCGGACTCACTGCTGTTTCCAGCATTAACTCCAACCTCATTATTTACTGGTCTAGGAGCGGGGCCTGCAACAACCTCAGGCTCATCAAATAAGTCACCAAAGCCTTCAAATCCCAAGTCTTCTTGCCCACAACCCAAAACTGTTGAGGAGGCTTCACCATCTCTCCCCGTGATCTCCCTTGTAAGAGAACTTTCTTCTTTATATGGAAGCAACAGCACTTTTGTATCTTCAACTTGTAATGGAACCTCATCTTCCCACCCATTCCTTAAAGAAGAATCTGGCCTAAGGTTTTGCATCTCATCAGGGAAACAAATCTGACTACTAGATTCACAGCTAGTTTGCACAGGATATTCATTTAAGAGTTCCTCCTTGCTATCATTATCCTGTATCACTGCAACATCCTTATTCTGGGAAAAGAAACCACTTTCATCTGTCATGGTTCCTGCTTCCACATAATCCAACCATGTAAAATCACCTGATGAATTTGATGCTTTCTCCGTACCATTCTCAAGGACTTGAGTATGGTCAGAGTTTTGAGCAGTTAGGAAATTGGGTGAACTTGAGACCTCATAATCAGATGGGGTGCTTTTATTCACAGGACCAAATACCGTAGATTCCCCAGAAGAAGCCACCACCTCTTCTTCAAATGATATGTTAGACTGCACAGGGCAGGATGATTGATCATTTGATATTTTGGTTGCTAAGCTTTGAGCAGGCAAGGGACCGACATCTCTGCTGACTTTCACCCGAGCCTTTCCACCTTTCTTTGGCGGAAATTTTGCTTTCTTGGATCGAGATGCTAATGGGGCTTTCTTAGGTGGAGATTTTTTAGAAGGAACGGGCAGTGAGAGATCTAGAAAAGGCTCGTGCACAACTGAGGCATGCCCACATTCAACACAACATACAGTACTTGACAATTGACCCCCAAACAGAGCATCCACTAAAGTAGGTACATTGGAAAGGATTCCATCTTTCTCAGGAGCATCCTTCTGTTTTCTTGCAGCTAGTTCTTCAGAACCCAGCCCCTCTAGTAAGCAACACAATAATTCATGACTGTCATGCTGCTGATATCCTCGAAATTGGGGAGACTTTGAGCATACACAGCAAAAAAATGATCTAGGATTTATAATGCTTTTCAATCCCGAGTCTGGGTTTGTTTCAACAAATAACTTCTTCAAGGAACTAGTCAAAGGCCCAGCAGGAGCATCTAGCTTTAGAAAGTTATCTCGCAACTTACTCATAGCTAGGAGATTTTGCATGATTGAATTAAAGAAGCAAGTATTACCAAGATTACTCATGCCTCTGACTATGTAACCTGCTTTCCTGTATGAATCACTTGTCAGCAAAGCTCCTGATTTAATTTCAGCAGTGATGCTGCCATTCCCAAACCACAAATCTTCAACATCTGCTAATGATTGGTCTGATGGTCGTGCCTTCAACAGTGTGACAACATCAGAAAGAACGTGGTTTTTTTCATCATTCTGTTCAGTTTTCTCAACAGGGATAAACATGTCACAAACAAAACACCAGCACAGCTGGGGCTTTTCAGAATTGACCACCAAGGGGTGCCTACTTTGCCTGGAGTGCTTGATTGCATGGCATTGAGGTGTTGCTGGAAGCCCAGCACCTCCACAGGTATATCGACCACACTCTAGACAAATCCATATAGCCTTTGACTCAGGTTTCAAATCTTCTGAAGCAGTGCCTTTTTTACTCGCATGTTTACCTTTTTTTTTATTTCCCCTCCGATCTGTGGCACTTTCCCTACAATCTTCACATGCCATGCCTATGGATCTAGAAGGTCCAATCTTTACAGATAATTTAGTTAAATTAACACTCTTTTTGAGATGAGGGCAGGATTTTATCTCTTCAACAAGTGAAACTGCATCATTGACAGGTGCAACAGTTGGGTTGCATGATTGGACAACCTTTTTTGGGGTATGTGTAGCATCACGCTTTTCCTTAGCAGAACCTTGTCTCTTGTTTCTAACTCTCTTACCCATCAATTCCTGTAATTTAAACACAATCAGTGAAGCCTGGCTAAATAAACTTAATGTCAACAGTCAAAAACTTATTAGAAAACGAATCCCTCTTACAACAAACAAAAGCAATTTTTTATTAGTTACTATGCACAACAAAATCCATTAGTCATGCATTTATACAAGTCAGAACCAAACTAACAAAAATACAGTACAGTATACTTTTTCTACAGATAACAGAGGCACAAGTCACTTCAAGAACTAAGCACATTTACGATTCATTCATTGTAGAAAAGGCTGGGTCTTCATAAAACACAATAACATAATGTGATCCATTTAGCCAAACCCACTTAGTTGGATAAAGCTTGTTGTTGTTGTGGAAAAAGCCAAATGAGTGCATCAGGATCTTCCTCAGCAATCCTAGAGCTTGATAAAAGAAACACAAAGGAGACAACAAAGATAGGTTTTGCAGCTAAAAGATGCAAACTATGCATAGCAAAAGGAAAAAAAATTACCAAATTAATAGCATAATTGATAATTAGTAAGTTAATAACACAGCAAAAAAGTTCTTCCTAGGATTGACATGGTACTATTGATAGCAATAAGCAAGAACAGTCCAAGAGGGATATATATAAGAAGTGCATGAATCTTCATTCAATCCAACTTTATGTTAGAGAATATTTGAGAGGTTAGATGAAAGTAGATTATTTCAGTTGAATTTATATGAAGAAAGTAGCTAATATATGAAACAAAATCTAAGACTTGGAAGTTTTGAAATCGTTATCGTTGTTTACCAAAAAAAAATCATCATTTGCAGCCAAATGGCATTGTCAATCATTTTGTCATCTTCATAAGGTCACAGAACCAAGAGACTAGTTTGTTCAATTTGTTTCGAAAAACAGATAGGTGATGCTTAAGATGTCACATGTAACGTATACTTGAAAGGATGCTAGCAGTAATGCCCATAAAAAAAGATACAACGAAAGATGGTACAGGCTGGATAACTTCCAAGTTTTGAGTCTGACATTGTTTCATCAACGAATAAAAGGAACAATGCAACTATAAACATTTTTTCTGCAATAAAACACAAACAGAAAATTCCTTGGCATTTTTTTTTTGGGATAGCAAAACAGGGCCAGAGGACCAAAGAACTCCTTGATAAATGTTGCAAACACTAAATTGACCCTAGGATTCCTATTTAATGCGGATTGATGCAGAAGTATTATTAACTGTTTCATGTACACTTGATTCAAAATCAATTTGGCATATATGGTTTAAAGTGCGTCACATTTTGACTACTTTTATGGTGGTTTCTTAATTTCAAATTTTGACGAAAACAATCACATAAAGGCTAAAAATATAAACAGTTTCGTATACTAATAATTTCATAATGGTCAAAGATTAATACTAGGATTACACAGACAATTTCTATTCTCAAATGTCGGATTAATCACAAAAATGACATCAAAAGATTATAATAGCATTCAAGGTATGAGCAAACATGCTTTAGCAGTCACATGAATATTTCTGCCAAAAAATAAAATAAAATAAAACCACAACAATGTTAAGAGAATTAAACAGACCATCCACTCCAGAAATAAAAGACTAAACAGACTAAAGAAGGTTGAACGCGAACTTTAAAACATAAGATACATGAATTTCGAGTTAATCTACAGAGTACCAACTGTAATCTACACTTTAAAATAGGATGATTGTTTTGCAAGGCCACTGCACTCCCAGCCAAGGACTCTTCCCCAATGGTAATAACTAGGGAAATAAGTCCAATCAAAACAGGAGCATGTGAACTGGATTAAACCGCATGCAAAAGCAGTAAGCTACAGATCAAGAAAGTGCAGCCTGGCAAATTTTACAAGTTTTAAAGTAAAGAGACAAAATTTAAACACCCGGCCAAAGGGGGGAGGGAACAGTTTACCGTCATTTATCAATTTCAGAAACAAGTTATCAAAAAAGGGCAAGCACCAAACTACATTAAATCCAAAGCATCATCGAACTTCGACTATCAACAATGAGAAGCAAAAGCATCAGTCAAAAGAATAAATAAATACAGCAGATAAAAGTCATCACCTCCGCGAGCAAATAAAATAAGAGCGAACGGAATGGGTATTAAAGCGATGATTTTTATGGATATCGTCAAAAATCAGTATAGTTCAAATTGTTGCACCCGTATCAACGCCAGCTTGAGTTGGCGAGCATCAACTCCCGCGCTCGCCTACAAATGGGCAGCAAAGAAGAGCTTAAGAGATTTGAATCTGGAGATTGGCGGAGAGATGAGAGTCCAGAGGCGATGTTAGCTTGGGCTGCTCAGTTCAAATCAGAGAAAAATGGCATATGGCAGTGGCTTTAGGAAGCCAACTGTGCTACCATGGAGGAAGGGGGGGGGGGGATGAGAAGAAAGGGAGTGAAGAGGGGTTGAATAGATGAACCCCAACGCATAGAGGAACGAGGCAACCCACTAACCCTGTGTCATTGACGATAATTTCCCAATAAATCAGGCACCGGTACTCCGACCCAGAGATAACACTAGTGTTAGCTTATTACAATTATTTATCACCAAATAAATTGCAAGCATGAACAATAATTATTTATATTAATTAGAGAAAATTGGTTGATAAGACCTAATTAAAACTAAAATTGTGTCCAAGCACCAAAGTAACTTGAAGGACCTAGTTTATTATTTTATTTATAAAATAATTTGATCAAATGACCAAAATATCCTTTTATGTTAATTAAAAAGAAATTAAAAAAAGGTACAAAAGTCGGTCGCCGCAGCTAAGGTGACCTTTAGCCACTCTTTCAATAGTTGACAATGTGCTTGTTAGAGCTTTGACTAGTAGGTGAAGGGTTGCTGAAAAAATTTAACACTCTTTGATTACATGCAATCATCAATAATTACATGTAAACTCAACAAACAAATGGTACAAGGATTTTGACTCAGGGTGTAAGGTTTTTGATTTAAGGTGTACATGTTTTGACTTAGGGTGTAAGGTTTCTAGCTTGGGTGAAAGAAATCTAGCTTAAGGTGTAAGGCTTCTAGCTTGAACAATTACATGTAATATCTTATGGATTACATGTAAATCAAATGCATAGAGAGCATCTACTGTCAATGTCCCTGTAACTACATGAAAATGACTATGGATTGCATGTAAATCAATATAAGAAAAAATTTGTGAGTATGCTTAGGGAATAATTTACATGTAATCTCTAATGGATTATATGTAAATCAAACACACAAAGAACACACTCTTGTCAGTCCTCTAAAATTACATGAAAACGACTATAGATTACATATAGATCAATATGTGAAGAAACTTGCTAGCATGATTAAGGAATGATTTACATGTAATCAAACACAAATAGCGCGCCCTTATCAATGTCCCTGAATTACATGAAAACAGTAACGGAGTACATGTAAATTGATATATGAAGAAATTCATGAGCATGCATGAGGAATAATTTAAATGTAATATCTGGTGGATTACATGTAAATCAAACACATAGAGAGTACACCATTGTCAATACCCCTGAATTACATGAAAACAACTAAGTTACATGAAAATGACTAAGCCAGAAGCTTGGCACCAAAACTAGATCTCTTGCACTCAAGTCAAAAGCTTTACACCTAAGCCATAGCCCTCTTACCCAAGCCAAAATATATACACCTTCAACTAGAAGCCTTGCACCTAAACCATAACCCTTGCACCTAAAGCCAAAGTCCTTGCACCCTCTAATTTTGGCACCCAAAATCAAAAAATATATCATGAAAAGTAAGAACAACATTATACCCATGTTAAATTACATCATATCCTATACAAAAAACAAAGAAGGCGATACTCACAATAATTTCTCTCTTGTTTAAGTATTATACATTATATAGCCAGCCATATTAACCTATAAATGATGCGGATTCAATAATGTAACATAGATGACAATTGAATTGTCTTTGAAAAACAAGTGTGAAAAGGAAGAACGAACAACAAAAATTTCAATAAAGCAATAGTAATTCCATTAGGTCAAATAGAATCACAATGATAAATAAAAATTATAAGGCACCTCATATAAAAAAATATACCATAGATAAGAATAACATCAAGCTCATGTTGTAATATTTGGAGAATTTAACCCCTAATTAAATGAGCAAATGAGACTAAATAAGTAAACAAATGTGGTATGTGATTATGGAGAATTAACAAGTGTTTTAGGTTGTGGTTTCAGCCCTAAGGATAAGTTTGAAGTGAAGTCAGGCCATCTAGATGTCAAAAAGTGAGAAAAACAACAATAAATGACTCTATGCCACATGTCGTGGAGCATGCACAAGATGCCATGGCGAACAGGCCATTAAAGCATGAAGACCCTTTTCTGTACCACTATGCACCGCGACACATAGTACAAATTTTACAGAAATTAGTCATGAAAACAGATAGAAAACATAAAGAAAGCAAAAGATACATGAAGGAGACGCAAGGAGCTCTACCAGGGCTTGAAGGATTAAAGCATTGAAAGTGTTTTGTAGCTTCTAAACACTAAAAATATCCAAGGAGAGACAAGTAAGATTACCTTTACTAATCCTCCCTAACCTCTAATCTCAATGTAATTGTCAAACTTATCACGTTATACAAATAGGATTCTTAGTTTTCAATGTTTAAAATATCCTAAAAGAACTTCACAATAAAAAATAAAAGTTCAAATACTACGCGAAAGCATAGGATTTCAAAAAGAATCAGTGCATTTGCTTAAAATTAGAAAACAGTGAAATAGTGCAGAATAAGAGGCATATGCTACGGCTTGCGAGCCTCTATGTCATGCACCGCAGCTCAGGCATAATGCTTTATGGTGCATTGCATGCTTTTTGACAACAAAATTATGCTTTCATTTGATAGCAACTGAGGCAACTTCCGACGGGGCCCATTTCTCTGTCTGACATCCAATTGATGTGATCTAGATGTCTATAGAGAGCTTTCTCTTAACTTTAGCTATTGGCTTTAGTTTCACAATCAAATTATCTCTCAATAAAAAGTTAGGCACTCATTTCAAAATTCCCTCATTTTCACCATTTCTACACAACTTGAGTGCTCAAAACTCATACCAAAAACTACAAACACCACCCATACTATACTCATTAGACTACAACGGACTTGTGTAATGTACCACATCACTAATAATGCTCATGAAATATATTTTCATTACTCAACCCCTTAATCTCAAAAATAAAAAGGGGAGCTCTAATTACATAATTCATTCATTAATAATCATAATTCACATGTCATACATGACTCTTACTTGTACTAGTATTTTAGCTTGCTATAGATTTCACAATCTATACACATATACCTTAGGGCCCAAAATACACTATATAATTTAACAACACTATAGTACAAGTAAGTCACAACATGGACTAATCCTAGTTGACAATTTCATACAAAAATATACACATAAATACTTCAAAAAGAAAAGGAGGCCTACTAATAGGATAACAATCCTATGCTTCTAGTTGTTTCCCTCTGTCTTATCCCCTTGAGCTAATTCCTGTAATATTAAAAATAGTGGGATAAGTACAACCACTCAGTAACTAAGGTCTATCTAATTCATACTAATGCATGTTAATCAATTTAAATACAAGTGGCAAAGATAATCAACTCTAAATCATTTAACGTGTTTAAGAGCATAATTTAATTTCTCATTTATAATATACATGCTCATGAGACAATGATTCAGTAATACATTTTCTCATAGAAATAGGAACTAATGCATGAATTGTTTTACTAAGGTCACAAAACAAGCAACTATATGCCCTTTTTATCACTATATGCATGACCATAACTCCCTTATATTCTCTTTATTCCTCTAACATGAAATTGTGAGTTATAACACATTGGGATCGTTTACACACTGAGACTACCCTAGCTAAAACACACATGAGAGGTTACCTGGCTAAGGTTTCCTATCTCACTAGCGAGTCATGATTTTTCTCATTTCTCACATTAGGGGATGTTATTCTCCTTATACTAGTTTTCTCGTTAAATAAGTGGATAACTAATTAGGTTCAAGTTCCTCATTGAACTAGTATGATAGTCTCTCGTTAAACAAGTGGGATAATATAAATAATAAATTTGGGCCAATCATCGAGCTTTGATGAAAGCCTTACTATGTGGATTTTAATTCTCTACTCCTCTTCCTAGGCAAACTCCTACCTCTCAAGATCATGCAATGCATAAATATGCAATAACTAATAGATGCAAGTGTTCACTACCTAAGCATGCACAATATCTTATAGTCATACACACATCATTGGATTCCACGACACATAATATTATTGAACTGTTGTTGAACTCTTCTATCACACAATCATTAACTCCGCTTGACATATAATCACATCACTAAACTCCACATCATAAACATTCATAGCACTCCTATAAAACACAATTTTATTGAACTTTTTACTTTTCAAGTCATTGAACTCCTCATAATGTAACATCCTGGATTTTAACTTTAGGAATTTCTACTATTTATAAGGGTATTTTAGTCAAATTAAGTGGATTTTTTGTTAATAACGTTTTAAGAAGACTAATGTAGCTAATGGATCCTTGGACAGCCTTAAAAGAGAGCTAGATCAAAGTACAAGCAGGCTATGACATGAAGAGAGATTCAAAATGAGTGTGGAATTCTCTACGCATGCACTTCTGTGAATGAGAATTTTGAATTGTGTTCTTGAACATGTTGAATGTTTTGAAAATGTTATCCTTGCCACTTGCATTTAAATTGATTAATATTAATTAGTATAAGTTAGATGGACCTTAGTTATAAAGTGATTGTACTCACCCCATTATCTTCAATATTACATGAACTAGTTCAAGGGGACAAGACAGAGAGAAACAGCTCGAGGCATAGGATTACTATCCTATTTATAGGCCTCCTTTTCTTTTTAAGTATTAATGTGTGTATTCTTACATGATATTGCCAACTAGGGATAAATCATTATATGACTTACATGCTAAATGTGTTTTGTTAAAGTATACCATGTATTTTGAGCCCTATGATGTATATATATTATTTGTGAAACTTATAACAAGGTCAAAATACTAGCACAAATAAGGGTTGTGTATGATATTTTGCTAATGATGATTAACTATTAGAATGCGTGATTAGAGCTTCCCGTTTTATTTTTGAAGTTAAGGGGTCGAGCATTGAAAACATGATGTATTTGTTAATTATGAGTTATGGTGTATTGCACAAGTCTACTTGGGTTGATTGAGTATGGTCTGAGTAGTATTTGTAGCTTTTAGCTTTTAGTAGGAGTTTTAGGTATTCAAGTTATACATAAGTTGTGAAAAGGAATGAATTTTGAAATGAGTGTTCGACTTTTGACTGAGAGATAGTTTGAGTGTGAAACTGAAGCCATTAGTTAGAGTTGCAGACACTTAAATCACCTCAATTAGACATCGG